TGTAGCTGAACTCACTGATGTTGCCGCCCAGTGCCTTTTAGTCTCTCCATGGCCCTGAGTCTGTTCCTTAAGTTTACAATGTCCTCTTCTGACCCTGATGTCCTTTTGTCCAGGGCCTTCCTGCTGGGTCACTGCCCACCTTCCTTCTTCACTAGCAGGTGGGAGCTTCTAAACATGGGGTTGGGGCCCAGCAAGATCCCCCTTAAGTTAAGAAGAAGGGTCCCAGCAGAGATAGGCCCAGGTGAGAGCTGAACAGCCTTGCCTGCTTGCTGCCCCAGGAAACGCTCTTCCCAAAACAGAACAGCTGAGTAGACAGCAATGGGGCAAAGCCCGCAAAGGTAAGCTCTTCTTGGGGTCCACCACCGGGCTGGTGAGCACTTGGTGGGCCCTTCTGTGCCACAGTCTTTCTCAGTCCCGAGGCCTCTTTTCCATGTTGTATCTGGGTGTAGTGGCCATGGACTCTGGAGCCTGCCCTGTTGGGTGAAGTCACTCCATGGGCTGTTGAGTTCAGCCTGGGGCCAGTCACAAAGGAGTGCTCCATTCTCCCTGTCCTTCCAGGGCTCTGGGTCAGTGAGCTGAGGCTCTCTTGGCTCATCTGGAAGACACTGATTCTCTCTGCCTCCAAGCCAGCTTTCACACCACTTGGCAGCTGCCCAAAAGCCCTTTCCTTGCTTTGGGCTCAGTCCCTCTGGGATTCACGTCTCTGCTGGTGGAAGCATTTCTTCTGACCACAGGGAAACTTTGGCTAAGAAAGTCACATTGGTGCTCTTGGACAGTGCCGGCTCACACCAGCCCCGGGCAAGTGGCGAGACCTTTGGCTCCCTGTCCAAAGAACCTGGTTGTGCCCCATCCCCAGTGGCTCCGTCTGCAGTCTTTGGCTCCTTTGCCAGACAGGTGGCTGCCCAGATCTGCTGGCTCCATGTGCACAGGCCAGACATGGGAACTTACACCAACTTTCTGGCCAGGGTCGCTGACCTGGGAAGACCTCCTGCCTCCAGAATGAGGGGGCCACAGGCGTGGCCATCTATGCAGTTCACAGACTCTTCCTCAGCCAGAAACTTGCTGCTCTTCAGCTCAAAGCTGCCATTTCTGTCCACGGAGCTGCTGTCATCAGTCAGGGAGACCTCTGTCTTATTCTCTTGGACCTCCCTCATGTTGGAGAACAAACTGCCCTCTGGAGCTAGAACATGGGTGTGGGGGGAGGTGGGAGGGGGGACGACGATGACACCCCACCCACAGCTGTCCACCCAGGCCATCTCTGCCACACAGCTGGTTCTACTGGCTGCACCCTCCCAGCTGTCCTTTTGGACTTCAAAAAACAGCTTTTCAGCAGGGACATTAGAGATGGAGGCAGAGATGGGGACATGGAGATTGGAAGCAGCTGAGAACTCTAGATTCATGGGAAGTGAGGGACTAAGAGATGGCAGCCAGAAGGTAGGCTTGCAGAATGTGCCGTTTGGTGGTGCAAATTATTATATATGCCTGAGTGTTTAAAAAAAAAAAAAAAAAAAAAAAAGCTTAAGTGAATAGAGAGAAACACTGGTAACTGATGGTACATGAAGGGGATTATAATCATTGTAATGAAACAAGGTTATGATTTGTTGAATGTAAAACTGAGATGATATGCCCTGTAAACTTCTACTCAATCCACAATAAAAACATTAAAAAAAAAAAAGAAAGAAAGAAAGAAAAAAAGGGCTCGTGTCTGTCCAGTGCTTCTGGCCACCACCCAGCCGTCTCCAGACACTGCGTGTCCGTGGTGTTGAAGCGCACTCACTTTTTGCCTGCAGTTGCTCGGGGCTCCCTGCTTCTCTGATTGAGCTTGCACTTGGACTTGAATGGGTCTTTGATGGCTGGGTCCAGGTCTTCGTCACTGTCCAGAGAGCTGCTCTTGTCGTGGTCATCGGAGCTCCTCCCATTTACATCTACAACCCTTGCCCCATTTGCCTGGTTGGCTATGCCTCTTGTCCAAGTTGATGAGTTCATCCCCATGCTTGACTGTCTTGGATGGGAGAGGCTGATTCTAGGGCTCTGCTGCTGCCTCCCTGACAGGGGCCTTAGCACCTTTTCCCGGGCAGATCATATCCTGCCCATCATGGTTGGGTAGTGAACTTCCAAGGCTTATCCTTCTTCACTTTCTTACTCTTCTTCAGTGCCAACAGTTTTTCAGTGATGCTGGCGCTTCCAATGACGTTTCCTTTTTGCAATTCAGGGGCGTATCCAGTGACTTTGAGAGCAGGGCATTGGGGCCACCAGCCTGGCCATTAGGCCCAACTAATGATTGTGGGCTCCAGGTGGGTGGCGGGCAGCAATCAGCTCAGGCCAGCAAGCTCCCAGACTGTGCCTTAAGGGCCAAGAACATTCGAAACTCCTGCTTGATGCTGTCGTTACTGTCCACTAAGCTGCTGTCACTGTCAGAGCTAGAAGGCCCACCAGGGGCATACAAGAGCGAGCTCATGCATGGGACTGGAAGGATGGATTTGGAAATGTCCAGGATTGCTTCAGTGCACAACAGCTTGGCGGACGTGTCTGCCCAGCACGGAGGCTGATCTGCATGCTAGCTTTTGGTGACTCTACATCTTCATTTCGGAGTAATTTTGGTTTCCTTCAGGGACCTGGTGGGATGGACAAGTCAAGGGCAGCTGGGCTGATCTCTGCGGCTTTGGTGGTCGCTGGCTTCTTCCTGCTCGTACTGACCATTTTTTATGTGCATTTTGTTTTGATGATCCTGGGTTTGCTATACTTCTTTCCTATTACATCAGTTCAGTCTTAGTCTTTTCTCTATTGTTCTTTGTACTGGACATTTCTGACCCATAATGAACGAATGTACAATCAAATGTAACACTGCCCCATCAAGTGCCATACTCACAATGGCTGCTACACTTGAGCCCATTGTTGCTGTCACTGTGGCAATCCATTTGGTGGAAGTTTTCGTCTTTTTGGACTCATCTTCACTTTACCAAGCATGATGTTCTTCTCCAGGGACTAGTCCATACTGATTATATGTCCAAAGTATGAGACATGAACTCTGGCCATCCTGGCTTCTAAGGATCATTCTGGTTTTACTTCTTCCAACATAGATTTTTTTGTTCTTCTGGAACTACATGGTATTTTTAGTATTCTCCAACACTATAACATCACTCATCTGTCAGTTTGCCATACTGTGGTGGCTTGCTTGTTGCTGTGATTCTGGGAGCTATGCTATGGGTATTTTCAATACCAATAGGGTCACCATAGTGGACAGGTTTCAGCTGAGCTTCCAGATGAAGACAGGCTGGGAAGAAGGAGAGATGAACTACTTCTAACTAGTTAGTCACTAAAAACCTTATGAGAAGCAGTGGAATATTGAATGTTGAAACATGAAAAATACTGGAGATTACATGATAGAATTTTACAAGACTAATGACTTGTTCATTGCAAATACCTTTAAAAAAAAAAGTGTTTATTGTAAATTGAGTGATAGTTTACATGGAAGAAAATTGAACATTGGTTTTACACTCATCCTATCGTATTTTGTTTCATTGCAATGATTACAATCCCCTCTATTTTCTTCTATTTCCTCTGTTTTTTGGGTGTGGTTGTTTTTTTTTTTTTAGATGTACACAGAAACACTTGGGAATATATAATCAACAACCAAAGGATACTTTCTGCAAGCCTGCCTGCTAGCCACTAGCATACAGCGTCTCTCTTTTCATGAGTCTAGAGTCCTCAACTGATCTTATCTCTATTTGTCATCATCTCTGCCTCCATCTCTGGTGTTACTGCTTCTCTGGATAGGGTCCCCATTCCACTCACTCTCTTCTCCCTTGCTGAGCTTAAATGTAACGGCAATTAGAAGATGGCATAGGACCTGTTATGCATAGGGTGACTATGAGTTAGAACCAACTCGATGGTGTATGACAGCAACAAACCTTCCAACACACTGGTACGACCTCATCAAATGAAACTATTCATTTGACAGGTTTCCAGAAATCATGTCAATATCTCAAAACAACCTATACATACCCACATAGTAGAGCATGGAAGGAGCCCAGAGACAAGGATACATTATAATACAGTCTGGTCTTAAGCAGACTGCTACAAGAGAAAGGCAAACAATATCCTTTACTGAAGACATGACCCTACACTGTTGTTGTTGTTGTCAAGTGCCGTCAAGTCAATTCCAACCCATAGCGACCCTGTATAGGGTTTCCAAGGAGTAGCTGGTGAGCTTAAACCACCGACCTTGCAGTTCAAAAGGCTTTCCAGTCTGGTACATTAACCCACAGCACCACACCCACACACCAGGACTCCTTTACTATGCCAGACAAATGATCAAACGAAAAATAAGGTAAAATTTAATTTATTCATAATGACTTAATGAATTGTTGTTCCTAGAGCATCAATAAAGTCACACAACTGAAACTATGACAATAATCTCTTAATCCTCAACTACACAACCTTCACCAACACATGCTATTCATAACCCTGTCTTCTTAAGCATGCTTTGTAAGTTTCCAAATGTCATGGACTTCCAGAAGAACCAATAGATCTGTTTTGGAAGAAGTGCAGCCAGAGTGCTCCTTAGAGGCCCAGATGGCCAAACTTCGTCTCTCATACTTCAGACATATTGTCAGGAGAGACCATTCTCTGGAGAAGGATATCATGTTTGGTAAGGTGGAGGGCCAGAGAAAAAGAGGAAGACCCCCAGAGAGATGGATTGGCAAAGTGGCAGCATCGATGGACTCAAGTGTGGCAACAGTAGTGAGGTTGGCCCAGGATCGGGCAGTGCCTCGTTCTGCTGTGCATAAGGTCACTGTGAGTCGGTGCCAACTCGATGACACCTAACAACAACAACAACAGCAACATGGTATTAAAGCTGTAATGTTCAAAACTCTAGGTTGAAAACTATAGAACTATAAAACATATTATACAAAATAAGTAAGATTTCTGGTTGCAGACGTCAAAATTTGCCATTTTTTGTATCCAACACACCCAAAAAGAAGACACAAATGTTGAGATTAGGTTGTTCTGCTGAGGAGCCTCTGCAGGACTTTCTTTATGTCCCTGTTCCTCAGGCTGTAGATGAAGGGGTTCAGCATGGGAGTGACAATGGTGTACATTACTGAGGCCACTGCACCCTTCCTGTCAGAAGATGTGACAACTGAACTAAGGTACACTCCAAGTCCTGTTCCATAAAATAAGAAAACGACTAACAAGTGAGAGCCACAGGTAGAAAAGGCTTTAAATTTCCCATCTGAAGATGAAATTCTCAAAATGGAAGAAACAATTCGAGTATAAGAGAAAAGAATCCCCGAGACTGGAATGCCACCAAAGATGGCACCAATACAATATACTAATATTGTACTAATAGAGGTGTCAGAACAGGCAAGGTTAAAGAGCTGAGGAGGGTCACAGAAGAAATTAGGAATTTCTACATCGGTGCAGAAGGTAAGTTGTGATACCATCAAACAGTGCAACAGTAAATTCAAAAGACTGATGAAAAAAGATATTAAAACTAGTAAGCCACAGAGGTGGGGGTTCATGATGACTGTGTAATGCAGGGGATGACAAATGGCCACAAACCTGTCATAAGCCATCACAGTCAGAAGAACATTGTCTAGACATGCAAAGAGAGAAAAAAAGGACAATTGTGTCAGACAGCCTGCATAGGTGATGGATTTGCTCTGTGTCTGGATGTTAACCAGCATCTTCGGGACTGTGGTAGAGATGAAACCAAAGTCAGCCAAGGATAGGTTGGAGAGGAAGAAGTACATGGGTGTGTGGAGGTGGTGGTCAGAGCTGACAGCCAGGATGATGAACAGATTCCCAGACACAGTGATCAGGTATATCGACAGGAACAAGCCAAAGAGAAAGGGTTGCAGTTCTGGATCGTCAGAAAGGCCCAAAAGGAGGAATTCTGAGACATCTGTTAGATTCTGTGGCTCCATGTATCTGAGACAGCTTTTGACAAAAAGAAAAGAAGAGGATTGTTAAGAGGAAATTAGTGAACAAGCATCCAGCACTATGTATGCATTTTGGATTCAAGAATTCACAATTATATGAATTTACAAGTTGCATGAATAAAATCTTTTTGAAAGATCAGCACAAGGTTAGTTCCTATGTTGCTGTTAGTTGTTTGGTGCTGTTAAGTCAGATCCAACTCATAACTACGCTTTGTGTAACAAAATGAAACACTGTCTTTGCACTATCCTCACAATTGTTGTTACATTTGAGCCCACTGCTGCTTCCACTGTATCTACCTATCTCATAGGGGGATCTTCTTTTTTTCTTTTTTTGACACTCCCCTAAACCAAGCATGATGTCCTTCTCCGGGGACTGTTCCCTCCTGATAACATGTTGGACTTATCAGAAACAAAGTTTCACCATACTAGCTTCTGCAGAGCATTCTGGCTGTAGTTCTCCCAACAAAGGTTTGTTTGTTCTTCTGGTAGTCCAGGGTACTTTTATTTTGCCTCTCCAACACTAAATTTCAAATGTCTCAATTCTTATATGGTCTTCCTTAATCATTGTCCAACTTTTACATGTATATGCGATTATAAAAAAAATACCATTGGTGTGTTAGGTGCACCTTAATGCTCAAAGTGATCTCTGTGCTCTTTAGAACTTTATGAAAGAGGCATTTTGCAGCAGATTTGCCTAATGCAATACAACATTTGATTTCTTGACTGCTGCTTACATAAGTGTTAATTATGGAGTCAAGCAAAATGAAGTTTTTGACAAATACAATGTTTTCTCCATTTATCATAATGTCACTTATTGGTCAATTTGTGAGGATTTTTGTTTTCTTTACATTGAGGTACAATCCATACTAAATACTGTAGTCTTTGATCTTTAGCAGTATTTTAAGTCCTCTTCACTTCCCTATGATTGGAGGTTAAAGATATCCCAAATGTTTCATTTTTCCAACATGTTATACCACTCCATAATCATTGATATTAATCACCATTCATCCCCTTCCTCATGTCCCAGGGTTCTGCATCTCACAGAAGTCATAATTGTCAAATGAAATGGCTCACACAATTGTGGAAGTCAGCAAGTCCCAAATCTGTAGTTCAAAGGTCAGTCTGGAGGATTCTACTCATGCAAGTAGTCTTAGAAGTTGAGAAATCCATTGTTTGTTTGTTTGTTTGTTTGTTTGTTTGTTTGTTTGTTTGTTTGTAGGGAAAGGCTTTGGGAGCTAATGAATCAGGTCAGGTGATAAGATACAATTTCCAAAACTGGAGGTCAGATGTGATGAATCAGATGCAAGATTAAGAGCAAGAGAGTGAACTTTGCCAAAGCACTCCTGTATGTTGAACTCAGACCATGTTTCCACAGAAAAATAAGGATGCTGACTTAAGTCACACCCATAGTAACCTTGTTGTTGGTAGTGGTGTGCCATAGAGTTGCTTCTAACTCATAGCGACCCTGCAGTGGGTTTCTGAGGCTATAAATCTTTATGGGAGCAGAAAGCCTTTAATGTTTTTTTTCTTCCGTGGAACAGCTGGTAGTTTCTAACTGCTGACCTTGAGCCCAATTTATAACCACTATGCTATCCTTAATCCTTGTTGTTGTTGTTGAGTGCCGTTGAGTCAATTCCCACCCATAGCAACCCTGTATAGGGTTTCCAAAGAGCAGCTGGTAAGCATGACTGCCAACCTTGCAATTCAAACTGCTTTGCAATCTAGTGCATTAACCCACAATGCCATATCAGGACTCCTTAATCCTTAGTTCCTTCTTCATCCTCACTCTTTATTGTTGCTGTGGTTGAGTCTGTTCTAACTCAGCAACCATGTATAGGGTTTTTGAAAGTGACTGGTGGGTTTGAATCACCAAACTTGTTGTTAGCAAGCCAGTGCTTATCCTACAGTGCCACACCACAACTCCAGTCCCATCTTAATACTTACTACTTTGTTCCACCTTAATCCTTGTTGTTGTTGTTAAGTGCCATTGAGTCAGTTCTGACCCTGTACAGGGTTTCCGAGGGTGTAAATCTTTACGGGAGTAGAAAAGCCTCGTCTTTCTCCCGCGGAGCGGCTGGTAGTTTCGAACCACTGACCTTAAGGTTCGCAGCCTGATTCGTAACCACTATGCTACCAGAGCTCCTTAATCCTAAATCCCATCTTAACCATGCCTCATTAACAACTCACTTCAAAATGGATCCATAGTCACAGGCATGTTGTTGTTAAGTTCCACTGAGTCTGTTTCAACTCATAGTAACACTGTATAGAGTTTATAAGAAGCAGCTGATGGATTTGAACTGCTAACCTCATGGTTTGTAGTCCAGTGTTTCTCTTACAGTGCCACACACAGACATAAAGACTAGGATTTATAGTACATCACTGAATGGAACAATAAGGTTAGAAGACGATAATAAATAATTAGCTTCCTTGAACAAGTGTTCAGATTTGATAATCTAATACCCCAGTACCTTGAACAGTATTTCTTGGTCATAGCAAACCCAGTCTCTGTCTTTGCTCATTGTTTTCTGTGCCATTCCCCTGTTTCAGTAAACACTCACTTTAGACATAGTGGGCTAAAGAATGATTGAATTGCATGAATATTTATAGATAACAGATGTTATTGTTGTTCTGACCCATCAAGTTGGTTCCAACTCATAATGCCCCTGCATAGGGTTTCCACAGCTACAAATCTTTATGGGAGAGGAAATATTGAGCTTTCTCCTGAGGAGAGATGGTGGATTTCAACTACCAACCTTTGTATTAGCGTCCAGTGCTTGTTCTACAGTGTTGTACCAGTACTCAACAGATTCATGGAAAAAGCAAATTATCAACTCCCTATATAAGGAAATCCACCAGTTGTCTTTCATACTGTGGTGGCTTACATGTTACTGTGATTCTGGAAGCTACGCCACAGGTATTTTAAATGCAAGCATGATCACATATAGTAGACAGGTTTCAGCTGAGCTTCTCCAGTTAAAAACAGACTAGGAAGAAGGAGAAACAGACTACTTCCAAACACCTGTGGGTGTTGTTGTTGTTGTCTGTTCCTTCAAGTCTACTTCAATTTGTAGTGACCGTGTATAGGGCTGACAAAAGGGGTTGGTGAGTTTGAACCACCAACCTTGTGGTTCAAACCAATCTTGAGATTGAATGCTTATCCTAAGATGACACACCAGAAGTCCTATATTTAATAATAGAAAACCTTATGAGTAGTAGTGGAACACTGTCAGCACCAAAATATTGAATATGGAAATGTGATGAAGAGCACCAGAATACAGTCAGATATAGTGCCAGAAGACGAGCTCCTCAGGATGGAAGGCACTTAAAATACAACTGGGAAATAGTTGCGTCATCAAAGTAGAATTTACCGTGAAGACACTAATGTAGTAAAGCCTTTAGGACCTTGATTTGTAGATGGAACACAACTCAAAATGAGGAGAAACAGCCATAAATACCCATTAATAATCAGAACATGAAATGTACAAAGTATGAATCAAGGAAAATTGGAAATTGTTAAAATGAAAAGGAACACATAAACACTGATATCTTAGGCATTAGTGAGCTAAAATGGACTGGTATTGACCATTACGAACTGGACATTTATATGTTTGTCTATGTAAAAAATGACAAATTGAGGAAGAAAAGTGCCACATTCATCATTAATTAAAAAGAATATTTCAAGATTTTTCCCTAGATACAATTCAGTCAGAGATAGGATAATATCCATATGACTACAAGGAAAATATTGGGCTGCAGATTGAAAGGTCAATAGTTCCAATCCACCAGCTACTCAGCAGGAGAACAATGAGGCTTTCTGATCCCATAAAGATTTGTAGCATTAGGAGGCAGGGCTTGCTGGTGGATAGGATAAAAGTGCAGTGAGGATCTCCATCAGCAATATCACAGAATACCAGATGAAGCAGGTTCAGGAGACAGTTGCAAAACTCTGAATCACATATACAGGAATATTTTAGAAGTTTGAAGTCTTATAGTCAGTGGAATTTGTAACAGAAGCAAGATAACCTTGTACTTTCAAACCCGCTGGGCTTAGCAGCCCAGAGCTGCCATCTTGGGCAATTCTAAGTAGTGAGAGCAAGTGGAGGGAAGGATCAGAGCTGCCACTGATTGATACCTGCTGGAACCTCGGAGATAAAGGTGTGGACATTCCTTCTGTTGGTATCTGTTCATTGGCCTCTTTCTGTCTGTGCACCTCCATTCTGGTGACTAGAGGGGGTACCCTCAGATTCAACTTAAAACCAAACAACAGCACAAAACAGCTACAGCTGGCCCCGAACTGTTTGTCGCTAGAAAAAGGCCAGAACAGGGATTGTGGAGTAAGAGAGACAGATTAAAAATGAAACAAGTTGAAAATTAAATCTTGAGTTACATCATAACAAACAACAATACCATCTTGAAATTTCTCAGGCAGCCTTGAAGGCAAGAAGCTGAAAAAAGATACTAAAGTCATACTCATATTAGGATACAGATTTTGTTGATTCTCTTCTTTCTTTTCTGATATTATAGACTACAGTATCCAATCTGCATTTTGGGTTCTGTTTTTTGGTGTGTGTTTTTTTATTGTTGTTTTTTTGTTTTTGTTTTTTGCTGTTGCTGTTGCTATTTTGTTTTTGGTCCCCTCTTTACCTTTAGGAGGTTCTTTCTCTCCCTATATTTTACCCAAGAAGAGACAGCAATTGCTGTCATATAGCCAAGCTACAATCACTCCCTATAAAACCCCACAATCCAGGTAAGAATGAGTACCAACTGTGACAGTTACTCTGAGTTGAGTAACAAGAAGAGTGAAAAAGGAAGCCCACATTCTGATCACATCTAACTGGAGGCAATCAGAAAACAAAAAAATAACAAAACATACAAGTAGCTAAGTATTAAGACAACAGTTAACTACTGAACATGCCCAAGAAGCAGAAACAGATGACCATATCAGAACGTGTCCAAACACAACCTAAAATGACTGACACAAATGA